ATATGATTTTTGCCGTCCGGCACTTTGTGTGCCTGTCGATATTTGTCCTCCAGACATTCTTTTTTTTTAATGGGACAAGCCCACCCCCTACCTCCCCAAACCGCTGCAACTCCTGTAAGCCAGGATCTACAGTAGATACAACCATGAAAACACCGGAACACTGAAGTCCGGCGCGTCCCAGGGACATGACTAACTGTCTTGCTTCCCGCAACGAAGTGAATCAGTATAAAAGGGGAAGAAGAAAAAACGATCGCTTCCACTTCCCTCGGTGAATTACTGCAGGAGACAGAACGCATTAAGCCTAAAGACACAAAGAAAAAACTGTACAACTGGGTGAAATCCAGTCGAACTCCAGACAGTCTTCTTTAAGACTATTTTTTGCGACACTAATTAGCTTAAGCACACATAATCTCCCAAATATCTTAGACGGACAAAAAAAACAATTGATATTGGTAATCTAAGAACATTGCCATCTTAACTCGTCGAGTACCGGTTTTATAGACACAATTAAAGAACAATAGGTCGCGGTCACCGGTGACCGCTTGGTGTTTGACAGTTTATGGAGTGATTCGAAGAGGAATTTATATGTCTTATTCCCATTTTTTTATCTAAGATATGCTCTGCTGGAATTTCTTCACACGAACATATTGGTATTTTATTCTTAGTACTATAACCACCGCGGTATTACCTAGCTATAATTGGGTAGTTTCCAGGGCACCAAAATTAAAAATTTAATCAGTCCGTCAGTTAAATAATAAAAAAATATTAGACACGTATTTTTTATTTTCTCGTATTAAGTTGCAATTCTTATATAAAATGGCGCTAAGTTTAGGAGTGGGAGGTCGTTACGTCATAACGTGTTACAAAATGTGGCACGCTGTGACGTCACACGATATTTCAAATAATTATATCCTCGAAAGTACATAGTTTTGTGAGAAAAGTAAAAATACGTGTCTAAAGTTTTAAACTAATGTACCAGACGGACATTAAAATAAAATTTAATAAACTACCCTATTAAAGAGAGGTGTGATTATCGCAGATATAAAATGACGTGAAGAATGAATATTTTCAACTATCTATAACTATCGCATCTATCGCAGAATCCTTTAAAATAAACACAAGTGCTCTTTTTAATAAAGTAACACTTATCACACCACCTCCACAGAATTACGAAACACAAAAGAAATAAATACAAACAGGAAAATATTACAACAATAGATAAAAGCAACTTACTTCGCTAGAGGCCGTTGACCCCATATATTTAACTGGGATACACTTGGAAATTGAAATCTGGCTGATAATAAAACCAGAATGCATGAAACTACTTGATATAGCTCAAATTACTTTAAAAACTAAGTTACACTGTTCACGTGAGCGGTATTGGTGGAGTCGCCTGACCGCTGCGGAGCTGCGCAGGCGCACTACAACCATAGTGTCCGGTGCTCGTCATTACACCTCGTGTTTTGTAAACTTTGGATAGTCGCTGGCAATTATAACCGGTAATAACCGGTTGTTGGGATAGGACCAAGTAATCAGGGATGTCAGTCACGAATTGCATTAAGTTCTTCAATGAAAATAATTAAGCTAAAGATCTCTCACGATTTATCAGATGGCGATAAACGAGCCTTTATGAAAACCAAGTCGTTTTGGTATATCATAACGCTCCGAAACATTGAAAGGTCTTCATAGCTGAACAGAGGATCCTATAGATTTGCGAACTACAAAAAAAAATCATCGAATGTCATCTCCCGTCTGAATGAAGCGGGAGGGAGTGTCAGACTCTTACTGACTAAAAACCGCCCCGTTCCTACTCGAGCTGCTGCACTTCGAGCCGGAACCCCGGTAACCCGTTAGGGTCTCCGCAGCTGTGTCACAAAGGGATAGAGTATTGAAAATGCATGGATGTGAATGATCCCTCATCAGCTGCAAGTTGTTAGTGATTTCAAGACTCAATAAGGACACGGCTGATAAGACGCGAGGAAACTGCCATAGCTCAGTTTGTTTAACCGTCAGATAGGAAATTTCTCTAACTAATAACTCCAGGCAATTAAACGATTAATTTTATGATTAGGTAGTAATTATATAGGAGAGGTAAGTGGTTGTACAAGTAGCTTGAACAAACATTGATAAGAATACAAGATTACAGAAACTTATAAAGCATTAACTAGATAAATAACAAACAATGCCTTGTTTTATGGTTTGATTTAATAGTTTCAATATTGGTATTGTTGTTTAAATACAGTTTAGTTTAAATATAGGCAAGATACCTCGTGGTGTAGTGTGTGGAACTTCACGAGGATCGAGTGTGTTGATGGACGTCATCTCGTCACATGCCTTTTGATTTTTTTTCTGGTCCGCACCGGTTTTGTTTTTGCGTTAGATAAACGTGTAAAAATGGCATGTTGCTTTTACTTCATCATGATATTTTGGATCAGTTTCTTTAGCGACAGGACATAAAAATGTACGCCATATTGGTGCAAAACAGACTATCCATCTGTTCCAGTCTGTTTTACAGCAATATGGCGTCCAGAAGACTTTCAAACGAAATGCAAAGAATAACTGCATGGTATCGTTAATTAATTTGTTCAAGAGAGTTGCCAGGGAAGTAAATGACTCTTCATCTAATTAATTCTGTACAATCGACTTGATAAAATGGTTTCCCTCAAGGCTTCAGCAATCACATTGAGTACCTATAAGTGACGATCTCCGCACTGCTCCTAACTCTCAATAAAGGTCATACAACTGTAGGGAAAAGCAACTCCCATAGGCGGAAGGTCGTAACGTTTAACGGAATGAAATGACCGTATTCTGCGGATGCACTTTGCTCTTTATTACGACAGTTACCTGGACTTCGTATATTTCTCTATCGAATGTTCGGCCTCCTTTATCACAGATTCAATTATGAAGAAACAAGTCAACGTTACTAACAAACAAAATACATTTTGCAGTAAAATGGAAATTATAAAACCCCATGTAAAAGAGCGTCTATGGTACAAAAGCCGACACGAAAAATATCAATTTGGCAAACTCTCTTTCTAACAGAAAAAGAAAATAGACAAAAAATGTGAAGGCTTAACTTAGACACCTTGAAAAATAACAAATCATGTACCTACTCTAAACAACTCCGGAATCTAACAGCAAAAATTATCACCCTGTGCAATTTATTCCTATCACCTCCTCGTTTTCTCCTAATCTTTCTGCCAATATCATCCTATGAAGATGTTCTCTCACCTTCTTGGAACTACCTGGTTCTTCTCTCCCAATAATCGAGTCACCAACGAGATCGCCAGTGGATGTAGATGGCGAGTTGTCGTGCGACGTGGAAGACTAGGGGGGAGACCTTTATCCAATAGTGGTCTTCCGGCTGTTGATGATGATGAATAATCGAGTCACCAACCCTAGCCCCTCACATCCACAATCAAGCTCAGTTCACCACACATATACTCTACAATGGCTCACTAATCCCAAACACATAAGGTTGTGTAAACACACATACCCCATTGAACTGGTTTACACCAGTTTCAACATACTCAATGCACTTACTTCCCACCTGGTGTTGCCTTACATCCAGTTATGTTTTTACTTAAGAGAAGATAATGGTTATTATATAGGAAGTTTATCATTCTATACATATAAAGTATATAAAAAAATGAGTTGATGTATTTACAGACTAATTTTTTGTCTATACTTTCAATGAACTGTTGTAAGGTACTAGTGGACACAGTGGTGTACCTATTTCCCAAAAAATTTAAAAAAAATAGTATGGCTAATATGTAATATAAATAACTAATGCCTATCTTTTTTTCTTGACAATTTTTTTCAGTTAAGATTCATGTTTTAAATTACTGTATGAAATATTGCTCACAAAGCAACATACTAAATTACTTAGTTAATACAAAAATAATAAAAATAAAAATATTTATTTTGTATATTATATTTTATTTTATTGTAAGTACATACTTTTAACATCAAGAAAACTTAATGAATCATTTAGCACATTGTTTACAATTACTGCCATGGCCATGGACCATAGACTATAAACAATATTGTTGCTTTATTTGCCTCGTGTAGCTGGCCAGTATAAACTTTGACATGTTTGCACAACTTGTAGTTAAGCTTATGGCTAATATTATTGCTGCACTAACTTGGAGTAAACAATTAGCTGATTGTTTTCTAAACATATTAAGTGCAAACATATTTATGTTGCAACTTGCACTGTTTTCCAGTGTATTAAGGTTTTATTTTAATTAATGTTTACTTATTTTTTATGTTTTATTAGTGTTTAATTAAATTGTTGGAAGGCTATTGCTTTAAGAATTTATGTATAATTTTAGAAATACAATTTGTACACAATAAATTGATGTTTATAGATTTTTTTTTAATTATTCTGGGAATGTTCCCCAGTGACAGTGATGTAGATGAATTCTTTGAAGCCAAACTGATGGTTTTTTTTGGTCTTTTTTTTATTGACTGTTTTAGTTTTACCTACATAATTGTTGTATATATTTTATTTATTAATTATTATATTATTTAAGTATATTATTTGTAAATAAAATTATTATTCTAGCAATATTAAAATACTACATTTATTCTTCCACACAAGACAATAGAAAGCATGCATTCGAATACCTACCCATTGCATATTAGCGTCAACGTTGCTATGACAACTTGCATAGGCGTTAAAAGATAGTGCAGATTACAGATTTAACAAAACATTTACCGAAAATAACATTGTTGTAGTAAAGTACGTTCTTTATTGCGTGTTTAGAATGATCCTACTGTCCCAATTTAAACTTGGCCGAATGCCCTACATTTATCCGCAACCCGCATCGCGTTGCGGTATCCCGTAAGTAATCTAGGTGTGTACGAACGATGCGGTGTCGTCATTAAAAAGCTAATGTATGATAAAAACGTAACAGAAATCTAGTACCATTTTCATAGCAGCTTTTCTACAGTTATTTTGCCAAGTATTCTCTTTACATCTAGACAATAATACTTACCGGCTGTGATATAATTGGAAATGATCGTCGTGAAAGTGGCTCGGCAAACAGTGTCGAGTGCTCTCCTGGCTCTCCCATAGCAAAGTTACAACTGCTGATAGATGACTGGTTAATGTTAAGAATCTAGCCGGTATCAGGGTGTCTGCTCCTCTCATACCGCTTTTTTAATACAAAATTTATATTTCAAAATTACAAAGAAATCAACAGGACTTCAAAACGTGCACACAATCGCGTTGAGTTGACAGTTCTGCTAACAGTCAGAAACCAATCTGCTTATATTTTAGCCTATTTGATTAATATCATTGTAGATAAAAATTATTTCTATGCCTTTCTCTTACATGATATTTTGTAGCCGTACTGTTAAATGTTATATTAAAAAAATCTATGTAAGATATTATTATGTAGTAATTTATCAAAATGCTTAATCATGCTTCCGAACGGACTCCTCAAATAGCCGGGCGGGCGGCGTTGAATTGTTGATGCTGTCAGTGTCACTACAATAAAATAAATAAAGTGGGAAAAAGCTGTATTTATTTTGATTATTAGCTGTTATTTTCAGTTTAATTTAATCAACACATTACAAATGAAGCTGCTAAAGCCCAGTTGGGTGAATCACGATGGTAGATATGAGCGGTTTTGTTATTCAAAAGTGACTTTACTTATTGGAGGTTTCCTGGGACTAATTAGTTTTATTTTCAGATAAACCGATATTTTCGGTGGACATACACCCTACGGGGAAGCGATTCGCGACTGGGGGTCAAGGCGGGGACTCCGGGCGGGTCGTGGTCTGGAACCTGAACCCAGTTCTATTTGAATCAGTGGAGGTGGATCCCAATGTCCCCAAGATGCTTTGTCAGATGGATAATCATTTAGGTTAGTTGTAGCTTGCACTGACCTCAGTAACTCATACATGTTCTATTTCAATTTAAATCGTTATTGCACATGTTTGGTTTAATATAGACCAATTAAAGCATACTTGTTCAAACAAGTTACTTTTTTATTACCCGAATTAGGTACTAATTAGTGAAACATCTAAGAAAGACTTATCTTTTGTTCTTACTAAAACATACATCCAATCATTTAAACCTTTTGTTATGAATATTTAATAATATTTCACACACATTCCACATTGTCAGTACTTATATCAACATTGTTAATTACTCTCAAAAGGAACTGAAAATTCAAGAATAACCTATAATAATCTCCTTGTAAATGTAAAAGCTCAATGAATATCAGTCTTAATAGCAAACTTATTGTAAGTAAAACAAAATTTTCAGCTTGCGTAAACTGTGTCCGTTGGAGTAATGGCGGCAAATACCTGGCGTCAGGCGGAGATGATAGACTGGTGATGGTTTGGGGACTCAGTGTGGCTGCTAATGCTACCCCGGGCAAACACAAGGCTGAGACCTGGCGGTGCTTGGCTACATTAAGAGGCCATGCGGGTGCGTGATGAAAATTTTTTGGCATAACTAATTACCTTTTCTGTATTTTAACACTTAGTCAGTAGATACCCCTTGCTGTGTGAATTAGATTACATCTACAATCTCCAAAATGACTGCCTCGTTGGCCGAGTGGTCGCAAGAGTGACTATCGTGCAAGGGGTCTCGAGTTCGATTCCAGGGTTGAGCAAAGTATTACTGAGTTTTAAAAAAAAAACCCAGTAGTAGCAGTCTTGAAATGTGCCGGGTATATAGCAATGGGCTCACACCCTAGTACATGGGACTCATAACATAGGTAGTGAAAAGTGTATGTTACATTGTACAGTGGTATTAGAGCCGTGATTTTGGCAAACCATTTTATTTAGAGTAAGTCCAGACTGATTAGTTCAGCAGTGGACTGTTTCTCATTATTCAATGAGTACAAAGCTGGGTACTAAATATAATTTACATATCAATACTAATGACCAATAAACTGAATTTGGCATTTCTAGTCTAATCAAACTATACTGTAAAGAAGTTCATAATTCATTATAATTAATGAATTTTTGTAAAACAGGTGATGTCCTGGACTTAGCTTGGTCACCGTTAGACAAGTGGCTTGCAAGCTGTAGCGTGGACAACTCCATCATCATTTGGAATGCGGAGAAGTTTCCGGAAATGGTGTGTGTGCTAAACGGGCATAGTGGTCTAGTGAAAGGGGTGGCTTGGGATCCAGTGAGTATATACCTGATTTTAATATTTTTTTTTCCTCATGATGGTAATCCGTTGTTGAGAATAAGTTATTTCTTTGTATGAGAAAATGGATTTAAGTTTGTTTTTTAAAACATTGATATATCGTACCAAAAACACCAAAATTTGTTCATACAAAAGTAGTCTCTAAACATCGGAAACAAGGTCTATAAGAGTGGTCACCGGTGACCACTGTGGACCTGAACAGTTAACTTAGTACTTATGTGGTACATGTACATACAAATACATACTTACATTATGTTCTTGAATGTGTCTCTATAAGTAAGTGTAAGTGGTAGTAATTTCTAATTACCTATTATTTTCATATTTATGAAAACCTACATCTCTTATGTAAATCTTTCCAGGTGGGAAAATACCTGGCTTCTCAGTCTGATGACAAATCGTTGAGGGTGTGGAAGACAGCGGACTGGGCGCAAGAGATTGTAATCACTGAACCATTTGAGGAATGTGGAGGTACATAACACAACACATTTTTGACATAGCTCGTCCAAATCGAGGCCCAGAATTTATCTTAACCGGTTACCAGGGTTTCCTTAACGGGTTGTCAGGGCTCCGGTTCGAAGTGCAAGAGTAGGAACGGGGTCTTTTTGGTCTTTAGTCAGTAAGAGGCTGACACTGAACTGTACAGTCTGTCTGTATAATCTAAGTCTGTGTGTAAAAGTTTCATTTAAATTCATTCAGCAGTTTCTGTGTGAAAGAATAACAAACGCATACTCGAAACTTCAACATTTATACTATCAGTAAGAAAGTCCCGGACAACCTAACGGGTAAAGGGTAACCGGGGCTCTGGCTCGACGTGTAGGAGAAGGAACGGGGTGGTTTTTAGTCAGTAAGAGTCTGACACTCCCTCCCGCTTCACCCAGGCGGGAGCAGTCAATGATTTTCCCCCGTTAAAATAAAATTTTATTAGTAAGATGGAGTATATGTGTGTATTGGCCGTGCAGGCACGACGCACGTGCTGCGCCTGTCGTGGTCCCCGGACGGGCAGTACGTGCTGTCGGCGCACGCCATGAACGGCGGCGGGCCCACCGCGCAGGTCGTCGAGCGGGACGGCTGGCGCTGCGACAAGGACTTCGTCGGACATCGGAAGGCTGTCACTTGCGCTGTGAGTTTTGTCTAACTTCGTTATTACTGGAGTATTGGCTATGTGCAAAGCGAGTAGTGGCGGACAGATAACGACCGCAGCGCGACACGGTAGAAATTGGAAATAAATGTGGATGATACAAACCCGGTTTTTATTATTATAATATAATATATATAATATAATAATAATCTTTATTGATGATAAAATGAGCAAAATACAAAATATTATCTTAATATGCGATGTAGACCTTATACAGTTAGATGCCTGTACTAGGAAAGCCCTGTATCACAGGCGAAAGTAGCTTTAATATTGTATACTTATTTACGACATCTTATTTCTATAAACCAATATTACTTATCATGACTTAGCAAATTCAACTATGATTATTTTATATATATATATATATTATAAATACATTCATTATATTATAATAATACCTACATAACACAACATATGTGTTATAATTAAAACTAGTAGCAGTAGAATTAAAACTAGTAGCAAAAATAAGCGGTCATTGCGATTTATCTACTACCTAAATAAAAATAACGAAAATAAAAATAGGTTTAAGAACTATTCTAAAATATTAAAAAAGTGTATGTATAATCTCCAAGCACTATGTAATCAAAGACATATAGCTCAGTCTCATAATAAAGTAAAAGCTACATGGAACGTTGTAAAGCGCAACACGGGTAAAATAAAAGGTAGAGATAGTCTGGATGTTCTTAAATATAGAAACACTATTATTGCGTCTGGCTCAGATATTGCTGATACGTTTAATACATTTTTCGTTGACGTTGCTAATTATGAAGGTTCCAATAATATTGACAATAGTAAAATAAAAATTTCCAATGTAACCTCACATGATAAAAGTATTTTTGTCGAACCTAGTGACGATGTTGAGGTCTGTCAGATAATCAGGAACTTAAAAAACACAAAATCCTGCGGGTTTGATGGTATTTCAACAGATTTAATCAAATGTATATCCCAGTATATATCACCACCACTAGCTCATATCATCAACCTATCTCTTGAACAAGGATGTTTCCCTGATAGGTTAAAAATGTCGTTGATAAAACCGTTACACAAAAAAGGTTCCAAATCTGATGTAAATAACTATAGACCTATAGCATTAACTCCAATCTTGTCGAAGGTATTCGAGAGAATTATGTATAAAAGGGTGCTTAAATATTTAAATAAGTTTAATATTCTAGCAAAGGAGCAGTATGGTTTTCAACAAAATAAATCAACAACGTTAGCTATATATACACTTGTAAGAGCAGTAATGAATAGTATTAACTCTAACACGTCTTCTTGTGCACTACTTCTGGACCTTAGTAAGGCGTTTGATCTAGTAAATCATCCAATATTGATTGAGAAAATGGAAAGATATGGTATCAGAGGTTCAGCTCAAAAATGGTTCGAATCATATTTAAGTAATAGGAAACAGATAACCAGAATTACAAAATTTAATGAGATAAGTAACACATTAGAAATATTTGATTCTAAACCACTCATAAATCGATGCGGTGTACCGCAGGGGAGTATTTTGGGACCATTATTATTCTTAATTTATGTAAATGATTTACCACAAGCAATTAAACATCAGTGTGTTCTATTTGCGGATGACACCACAGTAATCATAGAAACCAAAAATCCACAAAACTATGATACCATTATAAATGAGTCAATAAAAGATATTACTAATTGGTTAGACATTAACAAACTAAGAATAAATGTAACGAAAACGAATGTATTAAAATTTAAAACTTGGAAAAGTAAACACATACATTTAAATATTGCATATGATGGTCAAATGATTGAACAGGTTCGCAGTGCAAGGTTTCTAGGGGTTATTCTTGACGAACACCTTACATGGAAAATCCATATAGATAATATTTGTAATAAGATTAATAAGTTTATCTTTGCTTTGAGAAAGGTTAAAGACGTTACATCAAGGTGTACGGCTATTCTTGTTTACCATGCGTATGTTTGTTCAATAATTCGTTATGGAATAATTGTTTGGGGAAATTCTACGGATATTTCTAGAGTGTTTATAGCGCAGAAAAAATGCATTCGGGCAATATTTAATTTGAAATGGTCTGAATCCTGTAGGCCTGTATTTCAGTCTAATAAGCTGTTAACTGTCCCGTCCATTTATATTTATGAAATTGCTAAATTCATAAGAACCAATCCTTCGCTTTTTCAAGTTAAAGATAATGTAAATAAGAGAAAAGCAACATGCGTACTTCTTCAAGTGCCTTCACCTAGATTGGAGTTATTTAGACGGAATTGTGTTTATATGGCTCCTCTAATTTATAATACGTTGCCTAAATCTATAACTGAACTTCCGTATAAGAAATTTTGTAATGTATTAAAGCAATGGCTAATTAAAGAAAATTACTACTCAATCCACGAATTTTTAGAAAAAAACAAATGTAAATCTTTTAGTTTTAAAGAAAGAAATAAATAAGAGCAGTAAGTGTACTTAGTTTATGAACCAAAATTGTAGCCTTCATGTATTTTATTTTAATCTACAGTAAAGATTAAATGTACCCAATTTGCATGCCAATAATGGTAAATGTGCTGATCTAAATATATTGTATGTAACATCTATATCATGTACCACATTGAGCAAATAAAGAATTATTATTATTATGTATGTCTTTACCATTCACGGGACCGCAGGGTCCCGGTCATTTGGGAGGCGTACGAGGGGCCGAAGCCAACTGCGCAGAGGCCCTTTAGACAACTTTAATATAAATGTAATGGACACACAAACCGGCGACTATCCCTGTATGCACTATGGAAATGCACCCAAGGACAGTCCCCGGTTAGTGTAGGACTATTGTAAATAATGGAAAAAAAAAAGAAGGTAGGGCTATGGATGGGTTGCTGTGGACTGGTAAATTGGGAACTATGGATGACTATGGCACCTGCCGAAACAATGTAATTTTTACACGTAAAAATGGCAGGCGGAGACTCGCCAACTCACTGACCGGGCCCCGGGAATGGTTGCTAGATATAGCAACAGAGGGGCAACGAGAATGTGAGTGGCTGAAGGGTTAAGAAACTACCACCGCTTTCTACTCAGATCATCTGCTCCAGCCGAAGCCTCCTGCATCCCTGGCCCACTCGCGACTTACGAATAGTTTCTTACCCTCCGAGCAGGTTCACTGCTCTCGCGACTCCACTCTGGACGGCCAATGAAGGCAAGCCAGAGGTGGGAGACCTGTTCCTTGTCATCGTTCACTCCAGCCAGCCAATTAAGGCAAGCCGGAGAAGAAGGAACGGTGACTTCTCCCTGGAGCACTCGGGATGATGGTAGCCCGCAGGATCGCTAATGCCCGTCACCTCGCCTCAAGGTGCCCTGCGGGCTTATTATTATTATCTTTACCATTCACGGGACCACAGGGTCCCGGTCATTTGGGAGGCATGCGAGGGGCCGAAGCCAACTGCGCAGAGGCCCTTTAGACAACTTTAATATAAATGTAATGGACACACAAACCGGCGACTATCCCTGTATGCACTATGGAAATGCACCCAAGGACAGTCTCCGGTTAGTGTAAAACTATTGAGGGTAATGGAAAAAAAAGATAGGGCTATGGATGGGTTGCTGTGGACTGGAAAATTGGGAACTATGGATGACTATGGCACCTGCCGAAACAATGTAATTATTACACGTAAAAATGGCAGGCGGAGACTCGCCAACTCACCGACCGGGCCCCGGGAATGGCTGCTAGATATAGCAACAGAGGGGCAACGAGAATGTGAGTGGCTGAAGGGTTAAGAAACTACCACCGCTTTCTACTCAGATCATCTGCTCCAGCCGAAGCCTCCTGCATCCCTGGCCCACTCGCGACTTACGAATAGTTTCTTACCCTCCGAGCAGGATCACTGCTCTCGCGACTCCACTCTGGACGGCCAATGAAGGCAAGCCAGAGGTGGGAGACCTGTTCCTTGTCATCGTTCACTCCAGCCAGCCAATTAAGGCAAGCCGGAGAAGAAGGAACGGTGACTTCTCCCTGGAGCACTCGGGATGATGGTAGCCCGCGGGATCGCTAATGCCCGTCACCTCGCCTCAAGGATGACAAATTATTTAGAACTAATACATATTATGACTACAGCTGTGGAATTACATTATATTCATTTTACAGTAAAACTATTGAATAAATTGCACTTAAATAATGTGAACAATACTATTTTAATTTTTAGTTTTATTTATATTTGCATAGAAAGTTATGATGTTTACATTATTATTAATTGACAGCTTCCGCAAATGTTGTAAACGCTACGCGTCACCACCGTCGCGCATATAGCCAATAACCCTCTCCAGAGTTAATATACAGATACTACTGATGTGTTGATATACCGTGTTTCAATAAATGTGTTACTTCGTTATTGTTTTTATCGAGTAGTACTATGTAACACAGCCAATAATAAAATATCATTTTGCATATAAAATCTATCTACACATTCTTTGACTATATTTCCATTTATCACCTTTACTTTAACTTTCCCCCCTCGCAGCGGTTCAACAGCAACATATTCGTGAAGGAAGGCAAGAAGTGTTGCTGCGCGGCCGTGGGGTCCCGCGACCGCGCGCTGTCGATATGGCTGACGTCCCTCAAGCGGCCGCTCGTCGTCGTCCACGACCTCTTCAGCGACAGCGTGCTGGACCTGTCCTGGAGCTCCGACGGTGAGCCATTCTCATCTTTATCCCCTACACGTGGCCAAGCGATATGGGTGCTCACTCTTGAAACCAATCTCAATGTCAATGCAATTTCAATCCAATAAAATCTCAATAATTATCCCATGTCAAAACTATACAACCCCTACCGTAGCAGTTAAAGTAGCATTTAGAGTACGGAATATAAAACCACACTCAATATCATTTAGTTCATGAAATATCCACGCAATACGGATGCAAAAGGCGCTAGTGTTACAAGTCAAGAGTACGAAATTTCACAATGTCAATGTCGATCGATCGGAATTGGATTCAAGAGTAAGCACCCAGATGCGTTATCTGATGGTAAGCAATCAACGCCAAAGACGCCCATACGATAAGTTACCTATAATCTTATGGCGACACTTGGCACACGTCAAAGTGATAGCTCGCGCCCATGGACTATAGATGGAAGCAAATCAACGGATAACGTCATAAAAACCCTAGTCTTTATGTCTTATACTTACTTTATCATCTGAAGCCGAAGAGTTTGTTTGTTTGAACGTGCTTCTTTCCAAAACTATTTGTCTGAATTGAATTTTTCTTGCGTTAAATAGTCCATTTATCGAAGAATGACTTTCTTACGATCAATAAAATCCGAGCAGAGCGGGTGAAACCGCGAGAATTGCCAGTATACTTTAAATGACATTGACACTGTCATTGTAGTTGACGTCACAGTCTTTGTTTCAAGTAATTTGAATTTCCCTCTTATTTCGTGAAAAACAGGTTTGAACCTGTTGGCATGCAGTTCTGATGGAACGGTCGCCTGCATACAGTTCACGAACAAGGAGATTGGCACACCACTCACCATCGAAGAAAAGGTATTATCATCTTTTATTAACTGATTCAGTACATATCTTCCAATATTTATGTCAGCAGAAGGAAATTCAAGAATTTACTATGTTTCATTTGCTATCTAATAATAATTATTCAAATGTAGGTGAAATGTATAATGAAACTCTTGAGTCACACCTCATAAATGGTGTAAAATTACAGTGAATCATTAAGTGCATACGTAAACCAATTTACCCATTCTATTGCTTCTAGTACTGATATCATCACTCTAATAGAGATGATGACAGGGTATAAAAATTAAAAAACTAATAAGTCCGTCAGTTAGGTAATGAAAAAAGATTAGACACGTATTTCCTTATTTTGTCGGACAAGAAAACAATACTTAGATAAAACGAAACAAAGTTAGGTACGTCAGCTACGTCATTTTTGAGTATAAAACGATAGACGATATGAGCCTCTAGCATGGCTTGAAACTAGTCGAGTTCCCCATCAAACAGTTACGTGAGTAAGCCGAAAACATAATAATTAATTTAGTATGTCTAATGTTTAAAAATAATCTACCAGACGGACATTAAAATGAAAATGTGTCATCTTTCCTATTATGACTATACCAGTACTTACTTTTACGATCTCCGGCCACCGTAAGCGTGGGCCTGACCAGAACCAGACTCGAGCATACGCCGCCGAGCGTTCCACGCGCACCTCAAAGAGCCATCAGACCACCACGGATGGGGCCCAATAGGGCTGATGCCGATACTGAGTTGCGGAGAACCTAACGGGTTACCGGGGCTGCGGCTCGAAGGGTAGGAGTAGGAACGGGGAGGTTTTGAGTCAGTAAAACACTCCCTCCCGCCTCACCCAGGCGGCGGGAGAAGGCATTCGATGACTGTCCGTCCCCCCCCTTCAAAAAAAGTACTTACTTTTTTTCTTATTATACTTACCAACATAGCAATCTAACAAAACTTTTGTTCATTCACAGAACGCTTTCTACGAGAAGATATACGGCAAATGTTTGGCCAACGAATCAGGCGCCGATTTGTCAGCCAACTTGTTGGTCGAGTGTCCCGAGATCTTACTCGCGAGGGAGAAACAGGAAGCTAAGAAGGAAGCTGCTAAAGAAGATTCCATGCCTAAGAACGATAAGTCACAAGTGGTGAGTGAAAACTTATATTTTTACTGGACTAGTAGATAATAATCGATGGTAGCGCCATCTACTTAATGTAATATGTACTCTATGTATCCTAACCAAGTCCTATAAAATTATATAAAAAAAATCATTAAAATCGAGGGAATATTCAAATTTTCAATCGCCATCGTGATGCTTTACTTGTGCCACGGTGTTGAATTTTAATATACAATGCATCATATCTTAATTAAATCATGTTCATGCCGTTTACTCACATCATTCTATTACAGCTATCCCGACTGATTTCGAGCGAAATCGGAGTCCTTAATCATTAACGAATAGTCTATTATTTATAAATATAATATTTATCTCTGTTACAGCCTAAGAGTCTGCTGAGTCCGTCAACAGTGTCTACCGTATCATCTTCAACCCCGCTGCGTCCGATGGACCGGCAGATAGAGACTCGTACGTCTGACGGCAAGCGACGAATCACTCCGGTCTTCATACCACTCACACAGGCTGATGCCAAGTAAGTTACCAAGATTATTTTTTAGCATATGATGAGTAGCAGGTCGCCTGGTGGTAAGCAATTAGCGACAAGGCTGCCTCGCCATTTATCAAATAGTGTGACTACTCGAAAACGTGTGTCTGATTCGATTTCTGGGTCGACCAAAGTGTTGCTAAAATTTTCGAAATTTCATAGTAATAACTATTCTTCAAAAGATTCATTTTCTATTAAATGCCTGGCGTTAAATGGATTAATTAATACGTCTCTTATCTTTCCGCAAAAAATACAATGCGTAATTTAACAATTTAAAAACAATTTTTTACTTTTTTAATGCTGTCCAACTATAAAATTTTTATCAAGGGTTATGTATATTATAAACACATAATTAATTAAAGAATCATACGTATAAAGAATAGTTCCGTGCTGGAAAGCCACTGAATAACAATGAGTATAATATTATTTTGTTCCAGTGAGTCTCTAGGCTCCCAGCCGGGTGGCACGGAGAACTGCTTCAGTACATCGTCACAGAGCAAGTCGCGGATCAAGGTCGAAGTCAGGGACGATATCGTCATACATCCCAATGTCAGCAACCACGCCATCTCTACACAGCAGAATAACTCCAGGACAAGTGATAAGTAAGTAAAAAATACACCTTAAAAATATATCTGTGTTAAAATGTATTGTCTTTGTAGATACTATATCCTATGTTACATTTGTTCGGACAGTTTCCACTGTAGGTCATGTCTACCTTTGTATTAGTATTACCACAAATATGATCTCTTTGATTATAGTCACTTTAGCCCACTACTCCTCTGGTTTGTCTTGATTTTAATAACTATTAGCGTTCTGTTCTTTTTTCAAGTCGATTTTTTATTTGCCACGTTTTTTTTGCTGAACTAAATTCCATGTAATTTAATATACAATATTTTTGGGAAATCTACTCAAATCATAAGCTTGTTACATCATCATGAATCCATCAGGCCGTTCCTGTTCTCTGCTGGACTTAAACCTCGCAGACCTTTTCTTCAGTCAAGTTTAAATATTTTTTTTTGACATGTATCATTTCACGATAAAATTATAATCCACGGTCTATTTCAGTGGTCTAGACCAGCGCCTACGCAAGCGTGGCGCGGCGTCCCTCCCCGGGCCGCGGACTGACGAGCTGGGCTCCAAGCGCGCCTGCGTGGCCCCGCCCCCTGCCGGCGCGGCCCCGCCCCCGCCGCCCGGCCCCGCCCTCGCCGCGCCCGCCCTGGGCACTGCCGGGCCTATTGTACGCACTGCTGGGATGCTCCGACTGCAGGTATTAGATAAACTAATATGATACGAATACAAATAATTTAAATACCTACTATTATTTTTTGGGACTTAAAGAGAATACACGTTACACACCCGTAAATAAAATAGAAAGTCTCAATGTCGAAAGTCATTGAATGATCACATAAAAATCTGTTCAGGAAGCCACGTTTGAGTTTATCGCATACAGTCATAAACGGCGGACCTATTTTCGGATAAATCTGAAGTTTCTTTAAAAACATATTGAGGTAGATAAGTATTTATGTGGTAGTCCAGTAGGGCTGATGCCCGATATGGAGCCGCGGAAGGCCTAACGGGTTACCGGGGCTCCGGCTCGAAATGCAGAAGTAGGAACGGGGCGGTTTTAGTCAGTAAGACTGACACTCCCTCTAGGCGGGAAAAGTCATTGGATGATTCCCCCCCCCCCCCACCTAAACAAAGTATGTTCATGAACTGACCTTTTTCGTGCATTTTATTGCTAACAATATGTTTTGTACACTCAGGTGGTGAATAAGGCATGTAACACACAATATGGCGCGCTCTCAAGACTACAGTTACTGCCCAATAACTCCGCTTCCAGCGACCCTGTGTGGGAAACGTATTTAGGTATGCATTTATCAGTTAAATAATCCCACTAATATTATAAATGCGAAACTTTGTATGGTTGTTACTGCTTCACGTTAAAACGTGTGATGGCATCTGGATAAAAACTGGAACAGGGGTTGATTATAGTAGCTACTTTTTAACCCAAGGGACCGCGGGTGTAGCCGCTGGCAGAAGCTTGTTTAAAATTAATATAATTTTGATTATAAAAAGTACGACTTATTCGCTCGAACCATTGGAGAAAAGCTCTAACAGCTCTATCAGTTTCTAGTTACACAGGGACTCTAATTCACTAGTTGCGTGCACGACACGGCGACGTTGCACAGCTAACTGAGCTACTTTTAATATTTCATTACACAAGAGTAATTACACAAAAACTTAGTTTAGTTGTGTACGAGTGGTTAATAAGATAGTGTTTATGTTCCAGGTTCAGCCGTGACCTGTATAGCGTGTGACGTGCGGTGGGCGTGTGTCGCCTGCGCAGACTGCACACTGCACGCGTGGACACTGCACAGGAACACGGCGCGGAGGGCACTGCCACCCATCGGTAACTATACCTCGCTCACTGCACAGGAACACGGCGCGGAGGGCACTGCCACCCATCGGTAACTATACCTCGCTCACTGCACAGGAACACGGCGCGGAGGGCACTGCCACCCATCGGTAACTATACCTCGCTCACTGCACAGGAACACGGCGCGGAGGGCACTGCCACCCATCGGTAACTATACCTCGCTCACTGCACAGGAACACGGCGCGGAGGGCACTGCCACCCATCGGTAACTATACCTCGCTCACTGCACAGGAACACGGCGCGGAGGGCACTGCCACCCATCGGTAACTATACCTCGCTCACTGCACAGGAACACGGCGCGGAGGGCACTGCCACCCATCGGTAACTATACCTCGCTCACTGCACAGGAACACGGCGCGGAGGGCACTGCCACCCATCGGTAAACTATACCTCGCTCACTGCACAGGAACACGGCGCGGAGGGCACTGCCACCCATCGGTAACTATACCTCGCTCACTGCACAGGAACACGGCGCGGAGGCACTGCCACCCATCGGTAACTATACCTCGCTCACTGCACAGGAACACGGCGCGGAGGGCACTGCCACCCATCGGTAACTATACCTCGCTCACTGCACAGGAACACGGCGCGGAGGGCACTGCCACCCATCGGTAACTATACCTCGCTCACTGCACAGGAACACGGCGCGGAGGGCACTGCCACCCATCGGTAACTATACCTCGCTCACTGCACAGGAACACGGCGCGGAGGGCACTGCCACCCATCGGTAACTATACCTCGCTCACTGCACAGGAACACGGCGCGGAGGGCACTGCCACCCATCGGTAACTATACCTCGCTCACTGCACAGGAACACGGCGCGGAGGGCACTGCCACCCATCGGTAACTATACCTCGCTCACTGCACAGGAACACGGCGCGGAGGGCACTGCCACCCATCGGTAACTATACCTCGCTCACTGCACAGGAACACGGCGCGGAGGGCACTGCCACCCATCGGTAACTATACCTCGCTCACTGCACAGGAACACGGCGCGGAGGGCACTGCCACCCATCGGTAACTATACCTCGCTCACTGCACAGGAACACGGCGCGGAGGGCACTGCCACCCATCGGTAACTATACCTCGCTCACTGCACAGGAACACGGCGCGGAGGGCACTGCCACCCATCGGTAACTATACCTCGCTCACTGCACAGGAACACGGCGCGGAGGGCACTGCCACCCATCGGTAACTATACCTCGCTCACTGCACAGGAACACGGCGCGGAGGGCACTGCCACCCATCGGTAACTATACCTCGCTCACTGCACAGGAACACGGCGCGGAGGGCACTGCCACCCATCGGTAACTATACCTCGCTCACTGCACAGGAACACGGCGCGGAGGGCACTGCCACCCATCGGTAACTATACCTCGCTCACTGCACAGGAACACGGCGCGGAGGGCACTGCCACCCATCGGTAACTATACCCGCTCACTGCACAGGAAACGGCGCGGAGGGCACTGCCACCCATCGGTAACTATACCTCGCTCACTGCACAGGAACACGGCGCGGAGGGCACTGCCACCCATCGGTAACTATACCTCGCTCACTGCACAGGAACACGGCGCGGAGGGCACTGCCACCCATCGTAACTATACCTCGCTCACTGCACAGGAACACGGCGCGGAGGGCACTGCCACCCATCGGTAACTATACCTCGCTCACTGCACAGGAACACGGCGCGGAGGGCACTGCCACCCATCGGTAACTATACCTCGCTCACTGCACAGGAACACGGCGCGGAGGGCACTGCCACCCATCGGTAACTATACCTCGCTCACTGCACAGGAACACGGCGCGGAGGGCACTGCCACCCATCGGTAACTATACCTCGCTCACTGCACAGGAACACGGCGCGGAGGGCACTGCCACCCATCGGTAACTATACCTCGCTCACTGCACAGGAACACGGCGCGGAGGGCACTGCCACCCATCGGTAACTATACCTCGCTCACTGCACAGGAACACGGCGCGGAGGGCACTGCCACCCATCGGTAACTATACCTCGCTCACTGCACAGGAACACGGCGCGGAGGGCACTGCCACCCATCGGTAACTATACCTCGCTCACTGCACAGGAACACGGCGCGGAGGGCACTGCCACCCATCGGTAACTATACCTCGCTCACTGCACAGGAACACGGCGCGGAGGGCACTGCCACCCTCGGTAACTATACCTCGCTCACTGCACAGGAACACGGCGCGGAGGGCACTGCCACCCATCGGTAACTATACCTCGCTCACTGCACAGGAACACGGCGCGGAGGGCACTGCCACCCATCGGTAACTATACCTCGCTCACTGCACAGGAACACGGCGCGGAGGGCACTGCCACCCATCGGTAACTATACCTCGCTCACTGCACAGGAACACGGCGCGGAGGGCACTGCCACCCATCGGTAACTATACCTCGCTCACTGCACAGGAACACGGCGCGGAGGGCACTGCCACCCATCGGTAACTATACCTCGCTCACTGCACAGGAACACGGCGCGGAGGGCACTGCCACCCATCGGTAACTATACCTCGCTCACTGCACAGGAACACGGCGCGGAGGGCACTGCCACCCATCGGTAACTATACCTCGCTCACTGCACAGGAACACGGCGCGGAGGGCACTGCCACCCATCGGTAACTATACCTCGCTCACTGCACAGGAACACGGCGCGGAGGGCACTGCCACCCATCGGTAACTATACCTCGCTCACTGCACAGGAACACGGCGCGGAGGGCACTGCCACCCATCGGTAACTATACCTCGCTCACTGCACAGGAACACGGCGCGGAGGGCACTGCCACCCATCGGTAACTATACCTCGCTCACTGCACAGGAACACGGCGCGGAGGGCACTGCCACCCATCGGTAACTATACCTCGCTCACTGCACAGGAACACGGCGCGGAGGGCACTGCCACCCATCGGTAACTATACCTCGCTCACTGCACAGGAACACGGCGCGGAGGGCACTGCCACCCATCGGTAACTATACCTCGCTCACTGCACAGGAACACGGCGCGGAGGGCACTGCCACCCATCGGTAACTATACCTCGCTCACTGCACAGGAACACGGCGCGGAGGGCACTGCCACCCATCGGTAACTATACCTCGCTCACTGCACAGGAACACGGCGCGCAGGGCACTGCCACCGTGTCAATCGTGACTACCATTTCTAAAAGACATAATTCTAACCTAGCATACTATGTACTCACTTGAATACTTCTGACCTCACGTGCTCTTTACTCACTTGAATCGTTCTGACGAACAGTTTATTCCCTGATGGGTTTACTTGAGTAATCCTGACCAAATAGTCCTCCTGACGTAAAGAAACAAGATAGTTATGATATCAGCAATTTTCTATGATATCTTTTACTAAATTACATTTTTTTTCTTTACAGCCTTAATGTCCCAGGCAGCTAAACTGACGTTATCAGGCGACACCCTAGCCGTGGTGACTACGTCAGCCGAGCTCGCAATGTGGAACCTTAGCACTGCTACCTGTGTCATACGACCACTGTGCTTCCGGTCACTGCTCTCTCAGGGAGGTAAGATATCCCTTGTCATAAGTTGTTTTATTGTTGACCCTTGAAATATTTATTAACCCCATTTTACAGTAACTAGAATAAAATTTCTTCTGTGTACATATTTTATTCAAATTCAATTACAATATGAGGTATCTTACTCTTGCGACGAAAAAATCTGTGACACCCTAGAAATTTCTACTTTAATTGGGTACTTGCGTTAATCAAAAATAAATTATTTCGACTGTTCAATACAATACAATATTTTAAAAAATAATCACACTTTCAGTAATTGTATTTATGACCAACTTAATCTTAGTATTTTTCTAGCAATTTGCAATGTGACGTCACAATACACAATCTGGTACAGAATTAATAGAAAACTGTCGTTTTTTGACAGTTCAAAGAAGTATTGAATTTGACTAGTTGGCAAGTACCCAATTGAAATATACAGCTTACTCACGTGAACTATAGGAGAAAAGCTTGTCTCGTCTCGAGTCACACCGGGACTCTTATTCATGATAGAGCGCGCGGCTCGTTGACGTTGCGCAACTATGTATTTTTTTGCGCAAAATTGCGCAAAGCTGAAATGATAAAATATCAAAGCTTTTCCTTTCCCCCCCATTAGTTCACATGATTAACGCAGTCACCGGTGACCGCTATCCACTTACTCCATTATAGACCTTATTTCCAATGTTTAGAGACTACTTTTGTATGAACAAATGTTGTGAATTTTTTATAATAGGAGATTAAGAAATTAAACTTACCATTATACTAATAATTCTTCATTTAATCAGTCACATAGATAATTTAACTAAAATCGCGAGTTACTCACGTGAATATACTGAAAAAAGCTCTACTAGTTTCGAACCACGGTAACGGTTCGAACCTGTATATTCACGTGAGTAACCCGCGTTTTTTTAGTTAATTTAGTATGTCTCACGATAGTTATTATAAAAACATTCTCATAGTTATTTGTTTTACACAGGAGTCCTTTAACGCCGGACGGCACCTAACGCAGGACACTTGTATTATATCGATTGAATCGCTCGCGTTATTAATTATCGAGATAATACAAGTGTCCGGCGTAAGGTACCGTCCGGCGTTAAGGGACTTCCCCTTATTTATTATAAAATATGAAGTACATAATGTTTGTATATCCAGTGAGTGTGACAAACTGCTTTTTGCTGGACGACGGCAACCCTCACCTGTCGCTCAGTAACGGCAAGAGTTATATCTACAGCAAGGAGCTTTGTGCCTGGTAAGTGTACACGTTCAAACATTAACTATATTTTAGCCGACTTTAAAAATTTTGTTTTCAGTTTGACCTCTATGTTTGTGCGCGATTAGCTCAACCGCTTTTAATGCGGTTTTAAGAAGATTTAGTTGAGTAGTTTAGTTTAGTATATCAATTAACCGACTTCCAAAGAAAAGGATATATAGGACTTTTTAATCTTCGTTTATAAAATAATTCACTCCTTAAATTAAATAGGAGTTATAACATAACTAGTGAGTACTAAGTGTTTTATTGTAAACTGCTACCTGTGCTTACCTTCTTGGTGATCACAAACCATAAAATTACGTACAGAAAGTTATCAAGTCTCAGCTCTATACATATTAACTATATTAACATTTGTTGAATTTTTGTTACTTATCTAGAAGGTTTTGATCTGTTGTGATTTTATAATAATGTAAAAACTAGCAGAAAAATAAATAAATTTCATTATTATTATTGTTAATATGAACAGTAATAGGGTTAAAATTCTATCGAATTTAGCAAATTCGTGAAGATAGATAGAAGTACCTTATTACGATTTATGCCTAGTTAACCTAGAAAAAAGAAAGAAGAATAAGTATAGTAGTGACATAGTTATATAAAACCTTGGCTAAATGACTGTAATGTTATATTATTTTAATTTAAATAAATAAATTAATAAATAGTTTGATTGTATTGTTTTCTAGGTTTGATGTACTGTCCTACTTTGATTTTTGATGTCACTATTTTTAAATTCCATTTCGTGGTTAATTTACCCGCGTTGTCCCCCAGGGTGGTCTGGTCTGACGCGAGCGACCCAGTGTGGCGGTGTAGCGGGGCGTCCCCCCACCGCGGCGCGCGCGTCCCGCTACATACGCCCGCTAAGCCACATAGACCTACTCATACTGCCTTCGCTAACAGGTAAGCATTATTATTGTAACTAGTAATTCATTATTATTGATAAATTATGCTGTCTTTTCTTGGAACATACTCATTCTCATAGTTATATTACATTCGTAATACCCTTAATTTGGAATAGCACAAGACTTTTCTACCATTTCTATGGACTAAACTAGTTTGAACAAACATCTGTATTCTGTCTCGAGTGTGTTACAAATAGGGATATTCATTTCACATATACAGCACATCCAGAACAACGGTTTATGAATTACATTTGAAATTGTGTTATCTACTATATTATCATCGTGATTATTCATGATATTGTATAATTCGCCGTTTTACATTACGGCCACTGCTGAGCAAAGCCTCTTCTCACACGGAGACGGTTTGAGCATTACTCACCATGCTTGCTCAAGAATTTATAAACCTGGGTTTCCTCACGATGGTTACCTTCATTGTTTGTTACTGGTGTCTAAATAATCTTAGAAAATACATATAACTCGGAAAAAGTCACATTGGTACTTGCCGTTGGTAAGTTTCAAACTCGCACCCTCATGCATGACAAACGGGTGTCTTAAACCCCCGGGTCGCTTACGCCGTATGTAGTAACCGGTCCCCCCGTGTACCCGAGCAGCTACAGCGCGGCGGCGGCCCGCAGCTGGCTGGAGGCGCAGCTGTCGTGCTGCCTGGCGCTGCGCCTGCCGCGCGACTACAGGCACTGGCTCACGGCACTCTTCGCGCATCTCGTCAACCACGGTACTGTACTCTTACATACTTCCTTATCGCCCGAATACTGAAAAGCTACTCAATTTTAAATCGCACTTAAGTATAGTGCTGTCACTACAAATTCTTTGTAAAATGACAGAGATGGTACGATAATGAGGTACAACTTAATATTTAGTAGCCTTTTAGAATTCAGGCGTATTTTACTTATGTCACCCCTATCCTTACCTCCATTCGGAGTCGCGGAGAACCTAACGGGTAACCGGGGCTCCGGCTCGACGTGCAGGAGAAGGAACGGGGTGGTTTTTAGTCAGTAAGAGCCTGACAATCACTCCCGCATGATGCCCCCCCTTAAAAAAAATCCTTACCTCCAATGAGTTAACCTATACCTAATTCCCTTATTGGTGACGTGAAAATCTCCAAAAGGCTTCTAACTTTTTGTGAATAAAGACTGGGAATGGTATATCATTTTTACTTCAGACGATTATAACATTTTTCTTAAATATTTTCTATATGATTTCCAGGCACAGAAGACCAGCTACGGTCAATACTAGATGACATGCTGGGACCCAGCCACTGTACGTCTAACCCCAAGAAATGGCAGTCCACGATATTGGTAAGTTTCTCAAAGTTATTATTGGATTTTGTTATGTTTTAGACAGTCCTATCATGTAAAGTTACACTAAAAACTAAAAAATGTCCAAAAATCACATAGCTAAAACAACATTTTTCAACTTCACAAACACAGAAATGATAAAAAACTTATTAAAGAAAGAAAAAGTATAATTTAGGGTACAGTGAGTAGAGTTCCCTACTAAGATCGGATAATACCCTACGACCAAGCGAGCTGCTCGTGCCTGGAGAGCTTTCTACCCAACATTGTTGGGATTTTTTTAAATTCGCATATAAACTTCACATGTGTGATGTAGGATTGTTGTGACGTCATCCGTTAATTTGTTTTTCATCGATGGTGTATGTGCCTGAGCTGTCATCTGAAATGTGTCATGTGTCGCCACAATAATATACACATATTCTCCCAGGGTATAAAGAAACACGACCTTCTAGAAGAGATGCTAGCCCTCCTGGTCCGTCAGCTCCGCTGGCAGAGGATGTATGCTGAGTACAACGACCAACTCACTGAGATGAAGACCATGGCCACTGTCGTCAATGGACACTAGCCGGTGACGGAGCGAGACAAATGTATGCACCTTTATATGAGTTAAGTGAGAGGGACGATCTCAAGTGGTGGAGAATATCAGTTGTATAGTGATTTTATGGAGTGTTACTTGCAAAATTTTTAAAAAGTACCATATTACAAAGGTTTTAAGGTTCATAATTCTTTGTGCGCAAATACACTGCATGTTTTGCTGAATAGACTTTTAGAAAATAATGTAATGAGGTAAATATATATAATAATCAACTAATTAAATAATATACAACTTTGAAAAATATGACAAAATTCGTTTAGTATTGCATTGATGAGAATTATTTTCTTCATATTATGTCTATCATGTCTTACATTACTAACGTCTAGCGTGTTTCTCGTACACACGGGTGTACGAGAGAGTTGAGTGCCCATCGCGCAATTGTACACACGGGTGTACGAGAAACGCGCACCGATTGGATATTTTTTCTGTGACGTATATTTTCAAGTTTGCAACCCGTTCTTTAATTGATTGAACAGAATAGTTAATTCGCTTTTCTATTAAAATATTTACCCGTGTGTACGTGAACGCGCATTTACCTGTGTGTACGAGGGGCGCGCGAGAGGCTAAACTAAAATTGATATAAAATATACTAACTAAACACGAAACCTCTTTTTTGAGAAGTCAACTAAAATAACTTTTTAACCTCTGGCTATATATGTTCGACTGTGTGTTAAATTATGCGTCATGAACGTCATATACTTCACTATTCTTATAATTATAAATTTTGCTCAAAATTCCAGCATTATAAGTTGTTTCAAAGACTATCGATTATTTAATGTTTAAGTTATATACTGCCTTAATGTTATTTAAGGTGCATTCAGAGGCGTTATATCACTTCAATAGGTTGTATTAGGCCAATAGTAGTCACTACAAGCTGTAAATACTGTGACATTTTGCCGAAACTGGTTAAGATTTAGTGTTGAACGCTATATTATATATGTATCAAAAATGCCTGCATGTCGTCTAATTGAAATGAATATTTAATTTTTACTTGTGGAGTCTTTCCCAGACAGAAAAATAAAAATAAACAGTTTTTCAACTAGTCAAATTATTAAAACAAAATAATCTCACATTCATAAATTAATACTGGGTTTTTAAAAAAATCTCAGTATCTCATCTGGGTAGTAGTAGGTCTGGAATTGTGCTCGGTATGTGGCAATATGGTCACGTCTATTACATGAGACTCATAACATAAATACCCTTTCAAACAAAACAAGAATTTTGGAAATCGGTTCACAAATGGCGGAGTACTGCGCGAACAAAAAAAAAAACAATCAGCCGAACATAGTACCTCCTCCTTTTTTTGAAGTCGGTAAATAATGAAAAGTGGGTGTTACTTCTGTGTGCACCTCTGCCTACCCCTTTGGAGATAAAAGGCATGATGTTAAGTGATGAACACATGGTTCATATATTAATTTCATGTTTTCATAAAAAATATGTTTCTTGATGTAAGAAAATATTGAAGTTATTATATTAAGAAAACCTTTCGTTGTCAAAATATCGTTAAAATCCATAAAAATTGTAAGAACAATGTGGTAATGAATTAAACAAATAAATAAACTTGTAAATATTAGAGACTTGAGAAGCAAAAGACATTAAGTGTTGAAACTGTTGATGATTTTTGACATGTTTATAGACATAATCGACTGTACTACCTATACAGTTCAAATCATACCTTATTTCGAGCGACATGCGTTCAATAAAATATAAAAATGTGGGAGACTATAAAATATTCTAAGGGTAAAGACTCACAATGCGATTTTCTTACGCGCCTGCCGCGGTCGCGCGCCCGTAGCCTTTGTAGAATAATAAATAAATAAAATGTTTGTTTGGTGTAAAAAGCCAGATTACAAAATAAATTTAAAGATTACAAAAGAATACAGATATGTATGTAAAAAAAAGCTTGTAGAATACAGATTTGTATGTAAAAAAAGCTTTGTAGAATACAGATATGTATGTAAAAAAAAGCATATATACGGTCGAATTGAGAACCTCCTCCTTTTTTTGAAGTCGGTTAAAAATCAAAGTATTTCTCGCAGCGCGTTTTATACCCGCGGCCATTTCGATTGCTTGCGGCTCTCGCTCCACCGGCGGGCGGGTAGCAACCGCGCGCTCTCTGATCGGTTGGCGAGCGATCGAAATGGGACGGCCGGTCTGGAACTCAACAGATTTTTTTTATGGGACAAGCCCTCCACAACTTCCCCAAACCGCTGCAACTCCTGTAAGCCAGGATCTACAGTAGATACTACCATGAAAACACTGGAACACTGAAGTCCGGCGCGTCCCAGGGACATGAGTAACTGTCTTGGTTCCCGCAACGAAGTGAATTAGAAGATATTATAAGAGGAGAAGAAGAAAAACTCAACTGATTATTTAACCGCCTGTTTGCAGGCTATAATCGTTACTGCGGCGGCTGCGGGGTCGCAGAAAACTGTGAGTCTCGTGAGTTTTGTAAATCCCGCCTCCACTCAGCCACCGCAGCGGGCGCGGGAGACGATCGCGCCGTGAGTTCTTAGCCTAATAAATAGTCGCGGAGAACCTAACGGGTAACCGGGGCTCCGGCTCGACGTGCAGGAGAAGGAACGGGATGGTTTTTAGTCAGTAAGAGTCTGACACTCCCTTCCGCCTCATCCACGCGGGATTCCCCCCTTAAAAAAAGCCTAATAAGTAATCTTATAATGGTTACGCAAGTGTGAAAGCAATAAGATTGGTCGTTGTCGTAGGTGTTCGGAGATAGATCCGCCTTACTGTATATTATTACGTTACCTATTTAGTAAGTTATCTGTACTAATATAATATTTACAGACATATATTTGTATACAGACGCCTTGCTTATATCATAAGTAGGTATTTTCTTTAATCAAAAACTTTGTTTTATTTTACAATAGGTACAATGAAATATTAAAATAATTATAATAACAATTTCATTAACACTGATTACACGATATAGTTACTTGATTTCTATGCGTCTGTATTCAAATGCATATCATTGCCGTAACCAGTAAACTCAACTTTCGTCCAAAAATGCTTTAAAAATTTAGTCTTTATTTCCTAAGCAATAAAGTTAAAATTATCCGTTAATTTTAATTATCTTAGTAATAGCTGTTAAACCTTTTTCTATCTGATAAACCAATCCCTGACTGCAGAAGGAATAGAGTTCATTTTATCACGATACTTACTCTCTTACAGTAATGTAAGTTGGTCTTTGTTTCAAGAGTATTAAAGTTGATTTTACTGTGTTGCCAATGATATGCGATGTGTATTAGTAATAATGTTCACACAACACCCCAGTACAGTTGTGTTCATATCAACTTATGAAGTAGAATAGATTAAGTACTATTTGTATCCTCTTCGTGTACTAAATAGTGTGGTTTGGAGACTGTCATAAGAACTGGAGATTATGATTTGATTTATATACTTTATTCCAGTTATTACAGGCATGGGTTTTTTATTTATTTTCGCATTTAAACTGTCAAACACCGCGAGGACACCGGTGACCGCAACCTATTGTTCTTTAATTGTGTCTATAATGACGATGCTCAAAGGGTTAATGGCTACTCGATCTATTGTAAAACTGAAAAAGTGAAATGCGAAGCGAAATTCTTTTTTGTCTCTCCAAATCATAATTAAAAATATATTGTAATCAAAACACTAATTACTGTAATCGTTAATCAATCATACGTATACTATTTAGTAAATATATACTTAGAGAGATCACTTATGAAATGTAATCTATGGTTTTATAATAACTACCGTGAGGCATGCTGAATTAACTAAAAATTACGAGTACACACGTAGAAAGCACCGCCTACTGGCTGTCATCGCCGCGACCGCGCACGCTCATGATGAAAAGTCCCTCTGTGACTCGAAACTAGTGAAGCTTTTCTCATTATATTTACGTAGGACGACGTGCTCCATCGTAGACCGCATCATCGCTTACCACCAGGCGAGATAGTGGTCAAATGTCGGCCCATCAAATATAAAAAAATAACTCGTAATTCTTAGTTAAATGCAATCTATGTATATATCTTCACTACATAGCATAAAACAAAGTCGCTATCCGCCGTCTGTCTGTCTCTATGTATGTTTAGATCTTTAAAACTACGCAACGGATTTTGACGCGGTTTTCTTTAATAGGTAGAGTGATTCTTAAGCACATTGTAGAACTTCACTAAATTGCGGAGTTGTGTAAACTACTGAATGTGCGGTCATAGGTCAAAAGTCCACTGCCACCGTAAGAGTACTATTGGTTGCGCTGTAGCGCTTATACACACATGCACACGCATATTTGTATCCGTGTGCGGTGTGCGTGTGTTTATGTATACGCACGCGTTTTGCACATTAATATGAAATTACTTACGCATTGCCGTGTGAACATCACTCACGGTGGCAGTGGGCTTTTGACCGTTGACTGTACATTACTTCCGAAACCAAACCTTTTTCATAAAGAACTTAATTCGAAGAAGCTGTACCTGTGTCTATCACATCTAGATTTTTTGTAATCTGTTGACTAAGTTCTACATTTTCACAAAATCTTATTCTGTAAAGTAGTGTAAGTTATCATCTGCAAATAAGGAACATAAAATTTGTATAAATTCGACTAATGAGATTGGTTACAAAAACAATCTTAGTAAGGTTAGCGTAGATTAAATTAAAATTCTTGAGTCATGGATTTATTGACTAAAAGTTTTAAGAAACGGAAAAAGTTCCTTAAAATTAAAAATGGTAGAGTAGAAATTGCAACGTTCGCAAATTGCTTGTAAGTCATTGTGGTTCATTTTGTCTAGTGAAATAATTGATATGATCTCGTTCATTAAAGTATAAAGTATGAAATACTGTATTTGTAAGTGCAGTTGCGCTTTATAAGGAAAATAATGACATGAGTCAGTGATGAAAATAAAACTGCCTTATTGGATTTTCCAACTAATGAAAACATATTTGTATTGTAACTTTCGTGAGACATACTAAATAAATTATTATGTTTTCGGCTTACTCACGTAATAATTTGACGAGGAACTCGACTAGTTTCAAGCCATGCTAGAGGCAATCGAGTAGCAGCGCGACAGTCGCCGCGTCGCGGGTCGCGAAAAGCTGCTCATGAATATGAGCCTCTAACATGGCTTGAAACTAGTCGAGTTCCTCGTCAAATTATTACGTGAGTAAGCCGAAAACATAATAATTTAATGAAAACATGTCATTTGACGTTCTATAGTCTCTGTCTACACAAATGGGAGACGGGCGTGACGATAATATGTAGTATTTATGTAAAAATATGTCGGAATCAATGTTTGTATTTCAAAATGTTTTTCGGGTCTAGTCAAATTGGTTGCCTGACGAAAGTATTGTGAATTTTTATTTTAAGTAATACGAATAGTAATTGGCATGACTCAAGCTGGTGTTGACTAACAATCCGTATCGTATTTATCGTTACATGATGTGGTTATTCTTCATTCCGATTCAACCTTTAAGCCTTTTGACTGCCGACAGAAAACTGTTGGGGTTACATCCTCCGCTATCGTGGCCCGTACCTTGTCCCCCATGGCGTTAAAAGTGTTAAATATCAATATTTAAACCTTTTGTTCTATCATTTCTTCGTTACCGCTCTACTGCACTCTAAGTAAGCACGTAGCGTGTGTCGGGTCCAGCAGATCTTGGAAGACACAACGTGTTTTGTATTCAGTCGGTATGGTTCGAATACGAACCTTGTTGTGGACTCGCTAACTCTTAAAGCTATCTACTTCGTCGCAGTCGCCCTGTTTCTGTCAAACTTCATTTATGTATTTCAATTATAAGTTTGTGTGTATTATTGTATGTGTATATTATAGGAAAATATTAAAAGTTGTGATTACTTTATACCCTGTCTAATTAGTTATACGTAGTTGTATTGTTTACTTCTAATCAATTTCCTGTTCTGCTGTAGAGAAATTGGAACGAAACGTGCTATGTATTATATTTAAATATAATGTACATACAATGAAGTAATCGATGTTTGTAATCGGATATAATTGTTCTTGAAAATAAAAAATATATTCTGTAGTATACGTTTTCTTATACAAGTGGTATCCTAATACACTAATGATTGAAAATCTCAGTAGAAGCACGTAGTCTAGAATTGTGCCCGGTATATGGCAATAGGCTCACCCTCTATTACATGGGATTCGTAACATAAATAGTGAAAAGTGGGTGTTACATTGTACAGTGGCATTAAGTGCCGTCATGTGCACCTCTGCCTGCCCCTTGGGTGATAAAAAGTTGTTATGTTATGTGTCTAATGATTGACTGTAGAACAAGAGGTTCTGAATTTAATTTACAAGCCTCTGGTATTAGGTTTTTCATTCTAAGGGTATGTATTTCAGTTCAATTATTGTACAGACTAATAATGTATACAATAAATAGATCTAATAACATTACTGACTGCTGATGATTTGTATAAGTTTTCTTGTCATTCCGTATACACCTCTGACTACCCTTTTGTTAATGAAAAGTTATCTTCATCTTCATGGTGAAATAAGTTCCTCAAATATTGAAATGCTGGTAACTGCTTGTATAATTAAACGTGTCGATATAGTGCCAAGTTAGTACTGTATATGATCCGACATTCAACTGTATGGCAAGACTGTTTTGTAGTATTAGAAATAAAACATGTATTTCCTGTATTTGGGATTTTTATTTACCTAGTCCTTTTATTTAAAATTCTAAAACCTAATGGTTTGTCATTATCTTCACACTGTAGGCTTGATTGGAGATCACAGTTGGTTTAAAAAGTTCAAGTTTTAAAGAGCGCTGCCGCCAGGTCCCTGTAAAATATCTAGTCCCACTCTACTACTATCTCAGACACCCACGAAAAGGATAGTACTCTGTTATTATTACACTTACGACACTTAACGCATATATCCCTAAGTGGTCACCGGTGGCCGCTCTCCACTAACTACATTATAGACCTTATTTCCAATGTCTAGAGACCACTTTTGTATGAACAAATTTAGGGGATGAATTTTAACGGGTTAATAAATAATCACTAGTTTTGGGGTAGCTACGATTTTAATTAATTTTTTTTACAAAATGAAAGATTGTAAAGGTGTGTCCAAACACGGCGTGCAAGGTGCGCGGCAGTTCAGTCCGAGACACACCGCACTTTTTATTTCGTATTCAAACCACAATGAAAGCGGCTCCGTGTTTTGTAGCTCTGCTTCAACCTCATACTGCACCGCAGACGGTCTCCAAGCTACATGTTCGTGCGCGGCAATAGTCCAATCACAGGGCTGCAAGCCGCGCTCGATTGCCGCTCGATGGTGGACACCTTAAAATACAGCATATTCTTTCTCAAGTACCAGGAGTTCAACCATTCATGTCCATCCAGTCTGTCCAGCAATTAGTAAATGTATCTGTACAGAAGGTGTGTAGACCTTAGGGTTTCGAAAATTTGTTATTTTTCAGGTAAGACCTCTAATTTTTGAGATATTTTTGATTTTCATGTAATGGATTGTAAAAATATGTTTACCATTCAGTGTAATTGTGTGTGTGCCAATCATCAAATGTATACTCTGGTAAGTGTCGTCCAAAAAACTTTAAACGTTTTTCATTGTAAATCAGAAATAACAGACTTATGTTCTACGGCAGGAAGAAATGGAAAGCAATATTTCTCATCAACCATTCTTACATATTAGCTAATTCAGCATTATTAGGGTTTGTATAAAAGAAACAGCGAGTATTTTTATATCACAATAATTTATTTTTTTACAAATGAGTTATTGATCACAACAGCTTTTAAAGGTAATGGATCTTCGAGTTTAGTTGAACAAAATGATTAAAATGAATTCAAATGGATGAAAACAATAGTATACAATACAATATATGAAAATATTTTCAGTATGAAGGATGAATTAACTACACTCGATGAACTTTCTTCATCTAAGCACATTTACAAAGAAAATTAAGTCGCAAGATTTGAGCTCATGACATTCATAAACAATTTAATTACCTACAAGCAACATCCCGTAAACGGTCACACACGGTGATAAAATTTGAATATTGTACAAGACAACAACTACACCGATATGGAATCGTTTCTCCTACATTAGAAAATTTTGGTCCCAACACTCGAACATATCGGCAATATAATCTATACCGCTCCGGCTAACATACAACGTACATCATCTGTTAAACCATTTGAACACTTAGACGCTACAATATAACTGTGGTCGACACATCATTATCTAAGTCGCGGCTCCGCGCCGCCCTATGTACACCACTGCCCCATACTGTATACAGTGCCGCGATACTCAGTATCTTGTATCGGCAGTGCCAACTCTACCACTTACACATATACAAGCGCAGGGAGTGCGCGGGCGCATCATTATGCATTTTGTACCGTCGGGGGAGCGCCGCGGTCAGCTGTGACCTGTGTCCCCGCGACCGGGGCGCTCGCTAAACAAATATACAACTGTCTGGCGACACTTAGCCTATATGTACAGAGACAGAGCAACCCGGCCACGGCTAGCCACAGCTAGGCAGAGCTGGCCACAGCTAGGCACAGCTAGCCACGGCTAGTCACAGCTAGTCACAGCTAGCCACGGCTGGCCGCAGCACAGCCACAGCTAGCAGAGCACGGCGCGGGGCCGCAGCGTGCGGCACGTACAGTCGGCGCCGCACTCGTGCGCCGCCAGCGACAGCTTGGCCGGCTTCTCGTAGTCCGGCTGGAACTTCTTGCACAGCGCCAGCACCGACGGCGCGTGCGGCGGGGCCGACTTGCGCGACACCTGCGGGGAGACACTGCGTCAGTCACCACGCTATCATAGCCAACTATTTATACTAAACTACACTTCACGTAACAATACATTCAGGAATACGAGTAGCGCCCCCCGAAGCATCACTCCATGCAAGCTATCGCTACATGTCACATGACATACACGTACACTAGACCAGCAGCACTAGCAGTGCCAGCAGTACCAAGTATCAGCCCGACACAAGCACACAAGTAGACATCCAGGCTGTATGTTCTAACCTGACCGACGGCTGCGGGGCTCAGTGAGGTAGTGCGCGTCTCACCTTAGGCGTGGAGGGGGCGTCGGGGAAGGGGGGAGACACGTCGCGCGCGTGCGCATGCTTCAGCGGCTTGTCGCGCTCCTCGCACTCCTCGCGACCCTGTGCCGAGGATGGCCGGGACTCTGATGATTCTGAAAATGAGTCATATATTTACTTGTAACTGTTGCAGTTTACCATGGCACGAAAGATGAGAAATAATGTAATGATTATATGGAAATATGGAAAATTACAAGAAATAGGAAAGCTAGGAAGAGTAATATGAGATGACGATGACGATAACGTACATTAACTCACCTTTTTCATCATCATGTGACCCGTTGGTCCCGTTACACCCGTTGACGCCGTTGTGACCGTTCACACCATTGACCCCGTTCACGCCGTTACACCCGTTAACTCCGTTAACGCCATTAACGCCGTTAACTCCGTTGACGGCGTTGAGGTTGTCGTGGTTGTCGTCGTCGTCCCCGTCCGCGTCGGGGTCGCTGGCGAGCTCGGCGTCAAACCCGACGCCCACGATCGCACGCGGCAAGTTCGCCTCGTCTTTCAACCAGGGGTGCTCCAGGCACTCTTCCACTGTAAGACGACCCCTGAAATGTACAAACGATTACATCAGTACAATGACACCAGATATGAAAAAATATAATAAAACAACTTGAAAGTACCACATGAAGAAGGGATTCAACGAACACTCACTTAGGATCAACAACTAGCGTCTCCTTGATGAACTGTATGGCCCTCTGCGACACTCCTCGGAACAGGTCCTTGGGGAAGCTGAGCTGGCACTGTGCTATGTTGAGGTAGGTCTCCTGTTTGGTCTCGCCCGCGAACGGGGAGTACCCACTAAGGAGGACGTACGCCAGCACGCCAACTGACCAGATGTCTGCGGCTAGCGAGAGGGGCTCGTACGATAGAATTTCAGGGGCTGTGGAAAAAGAAGAAAACTAAATTAATAGATTTTCCTTGACAGATGTACTGTACGTTCTGAGAAGATTTTATGAGACCTAAATAGATGAAATCCCTTTTTTATCGTTAGGTGTTTTTAAACCGAAAATATTGTTGACAATGTTTTCGGTTTCCTCAATTTATAGAACAAGTCTCTCCCTACAGTCATTAAATTTCGATAGCAGTCAACTGATTTCTAATTCAAACTAACACTTTCACTAGGTATTGTAACAGAACCATAATAAATTATGCAGCCAGTTACTTACACTCCTGTTAGATCCTCTAAAAAGGATGTCCACAATTACCAGATAGAATGACTTACCGCTTACTATCTTCTCAGATATACTATAGTTAAAAAATACTCACCAACATAGTCCCTTGTGCCTAATATCTCCCGGACGTGTGCTCCGGGCTGTATAGCGCGACTGATACCGAAGTCACATATAAGTAGTTCTTCTCCGCCGGCTGTGAGTAGTAGGTTCTGTGGCTTGAGGTCCAGGTGAGCGACCCGGCGCGCGTGTAAGTGTGCCAGCCCCTCTAGTACGTGACGCAGGGCCCGTCGCGCCGCTCCCTCGGACAGACGATCTTCTTCGTCAAGGAGACGCTGCAGTTCTCCGCCAGCACATAATTCTAATACAATCGCCACTTCCGAACGGGTTTCGTATACCTGGAAATGAGAAATGGTCAATCAGATTCGAGGTAAGTTTGTGTCTCTCAGTATTATATCTACTAATAAGTAATATATTTATGAGAACATAATAACTATTCTCATAAAATATCGCTACCAGAACCTTGAAAATGAAGGTTTTATGCCCTAAGCTCTCCATTAATCGTCATCCATATCAGAAAAAGTGTATGACTATTGATTATGACCTATCGATATTTGTCTTCAGACGGGAGTATAAACGTAATGTAAGGTATTCTCACCTCGTGTAGACTGACGACGCGCGTGCACTCCGCGCAGAGGTCGAGCACGGCCACCTCGTGTAGGATCTCGCGCGTCGTGTCTGCCGCGCGTCTCCGCTTGCGAATGATCTTTGCCGCGTACTCTTCTCCTGATACTAAGTGGCGAATCTTGCGAACTGACGCGAACTTGCCCCTGGAAGAACAGAAATAAAAAGAATGTCAAAATTGAAGTTCAAAAAGTAATTAAATTTTTCCACAAACCGATATGATTATCTCCTGTCGTCGTTGATTCGATAAATACCATAGCCACTGAAAACACACTAATCACAAGAAATACGTAAAATGAACTGTACTATCTAATTAAGGTGACAAATCACGATTACTTCGGATTTGTGGATATTAGACATTCAGGCCAGTAGGAACGGCTTAGACAATTTTATGTAATGTGTAAATCTGAAGTTAGTTCCCATTACGATAGCAAAACGGACGACATAAAATCCAGTGCCAGCGAACAAATTTATCGGAATAGAAAGCCTCGCAACCTACAAAATTGACTGGTTACCCTTAAATCAGGTTTGAAGGCAAATGTAATATTACCGCCATTGTAATCGGTTGATTTCATTACACTGTCGCCGTTTAAGACAAAGTGTTGCTCGTAAACACATCAGGGGCAGCCATTAGGCGGCATTAGTCGGAATAATTACCAGCCGAGAGGAACGGCGCGCGCGCACTCCGCAAGGGGATCCTTACAGGTGATCTATGGAGACGTCGTACATCAACGATTTATGGAAATTGGTTCCGAACTATTTTTATGGGACAGCTCAAATATATTGGTGCGGCGAAGAAACAAAAAGTTATACGGACCGACGGAACATAAAGCACTGGTCGGTTCCCGATCGAGATCAGGAACTCATAACATTGTGTGCCTATGTACATTAGCATAGCATAATTAGCATAGGTCGTTATTTAGACTTTCTCTTTCGCGCATAACGAACCATTTCCCAAAACTAGTTGCTGGAGTAAGCACTAAATTGCCTAGAATAGGTCTCATTAGGGCCGTAAACGACGCTGTTACGCCACGGAACAAAGGTATATTTACATTACCAGCACATATTAAGTAATTTTCTTATACTAACATTGAGTGGGAAAGCCAAGTGTTTAGGTTTGCGGGTAATTCTAAGTATCGCATAAATCTGAGGTTTGATTGCGCGCACGCAGTTTGCAATTAACTGCGTGGTGCGGGCGCCGGCGCCGACAGTACAACGTAGCGGAAACAGAAGTATCGTTTTACAACATTTAAAATTAAATATAATATCTTATAGACTCCAATATTAGATAGATTGTGGATAAAGGAAAACACGGTAAAATACTGTACATTTATTGAAATCGATAAAAATAAAGTGAGAAGGGTGCAACCAAGTTATGCTGCTTGCATCCAAAACAATAGTTTTCGAAATACTAAAAAACTACTTATTCTTTATAGGTCTTCTGAATTACCTTCCGCGGTTACCGCCAACAAATTCTCCAAAATATACGCATGTACGATTCAAGATTTACAGCCGGATCCACTGTGTGAAATATTTCGCGGTATTCCAAACTTGGGACGTGGTTACAATGTGAACTCATTGTAATAATTATGCTTATAAGGTTCATTTGCATGAAGTGCATAATTAACAGGTTTTACGCATGGAGTTCAGACTAGAATAAGCTAATTAATCTTTACAACATACTTACGCACTATTTTTGTCAAAAGCTTCCCCTATCTAAAACTGTCTTTTATTTTAATCCGCGTCGTAGTAACACTCGAGAACAATTTATAAATCGGAAACATCGGTGAATCAAAAGCGCGCTAAAATTCTAAGAAATCTGACGCACCAGATGAATCCCACTTGATTCAATTCAGAAGTTATTCCGACATATTTCTGGAGAAACAAACAATTGGTCACAGTCACCGCGTAAGGGACGCGACACACGAATATTGAATGACATGTCTCACATAAACACGAAACAATACAAAAAACTGAATAAAGAAATGTTCCCACGTATCTAGCTCAATGTACGTGGGTAACCGACTATATTCTACTAGTTAATTAATAAAAACAGTGAACTCATTGTAACATGAATTTAATACCGTAACTGTACACAAAACCGGAGCGGATTACGTAAAACGTAAAACAATTGGGTATTGAGGCCAATGTCGGCACGTGGAGGACGTAGTGAGGGCAACAGAGGGCATCGGAGGGCATTGGAGGACAACCTGGGGCGGGTAGAGGGCGTTTCGCCACCCCGTGCCCGAGTGACCTCGCTCGGGTCACGGCTGCCCGGGCGGGGTGGCGGCGAGACACCTATTTTTAGATCTTGTTGGAAATTGGTGCTACTATTTCGTGTCGTTTCCCTTTCGTTGGTTTAAAAATAAATAAAGGGGTGTCATGCAATGTGCAGCTTTTGCACTGAATTTTAGGAACTGTTGCACTTTATGGACATTATTCGTAATGCTATCGACGCATTGAGAAATTAAACCACTTCAGCTTGGAAGTAGAATCTTAAACATGCATCTACTTTCATCGCAATTAATCTCTCATAATAATTTCTTAAAAATTTATTTCCATTCGCAAGACGCAACAAGATTTTACAGCAGATTCCTCAAATAACACAGACCAAATAGAGGTATAACCCCAAACGTAAAAGTCACTATAACAAATAATATTTTATTCATAGCAAGCAACAATTACTTCAATATACGTAATAGTTACCAGCTCCGTAACAGAATCAAGGGCGTGTCGACAAGGATCGATAGTCCCGCCCCCTAGCGTAACCCAGATAGAACAACTGGGCCATGAATGGGGGATGACGCTTGTCTTTGCGTAACGTGTGTAAAATTAATTGAATGGCTAAAATAAGAGATTTAGGAAGGAAATATTATGAGAAAGGGATGGTTCGATTGTTTGCACAGAGGGTTGTTCTTAGGGTCCGAAATTGGCGTAGAAAATTGATTAGATTGATATTTTCTTAACGGATTTATTTAATAGATAGATGGTTTACGCAACATTAAATTAACTTATATCAGTATGTCATATTTGATATATCAGATATATCGAGCACACTCGTGTCACGGCATTTAAGCTGAGCTCTGGCCTTTTTGCGCCGTCTTTATTGTATTGTTTTTATTTTATTTTTTTGTGTCATGGTACCGTGTGACGGTGTGCAAATAAACGCTTTTTCTTTCTTTTCTTTCTTTCTATTTGACAATAATTATACAGTGACTACGAAGGTATGGATGAAATATAACCAATTCGCCCACCTTGCAAAAATCCTATTAATGTAATAGACACTTTATAAGTTAGCTGCGCAAGACTGCCTATCATGTAAAACATGAGAAAACACTGTTGACATCGTGTCACTGTGTCAAGTCGCGCGTTGACCTAAGATGCGCGTGCGCATTCCACACAACTGTTGCGCAGTGCAATCGCGTATGTAGGCAGATATATTGTCATCTTTCATAGAATATAGAGAATGAACGTTGTATTTATTACTTTTTTGTTGAAACAAATCATTAATTTATTAAATCTTTTCGTGGTCAACGTCTTTAACATTGATAACAATTACGTGTAGTCATTTATATGTATTAGGGCAATTGAGTTTATTGACAATAATTAACTTAAATTCAAAGAATAAATACTTCACGATGCCTGAACAAACGACCATTTGACGTCACTTGGAAATTCCAACCAGACTCGGTTGATCATTCCAAAGTACTTACTCACAGGATACTCGAAATAAATATCGTGCGATGTTTTTGTCCATTTAAAGCCGGCATCCAGTGATTGCGGCTTCAGACCAGAGGTCTGCGCTCTGGCATCGAACGCCGACGAAATTCGGCGAAAATGGCCGCACCTGCCCAACGACAGCTGCGCCAGAGTTGCAAAAACGCAACCCGTTCAAACGGATGCAGAGCTTGTTTTTTAGGAAACTCTAATTTGATACACGATAATAGTGTGACAGAAGACTTGCGAACTTGGTAGCTTCGTTGTAATACAAGAACCTTGTTTTTAAGAATCCTGGCTGTCTTTACGATTCATCTTCCTATATGAATTGAATGTTACCTTCTCGAAAAGGTTGAAATGAAGTTCATTCCACTTGAAAATTCGATACCATCATCGAATAAAGTAAATGGGAGTGAATTGGAAGATCGATGTAGACGATAGTGTAATCAGAATGAACTACATTACCACTGGCGTTTACTGCCCCACCTACAAGATAACTATGATGAATCGAACAACGACTGAGAAAGATAACATTTCAGATCACGAGATTATAAGTTTCACGCAACATCGAGCGTTTTATGGAACGAACAACGTCTTATTAAAAATGTCATAATCAGTTACAGCGCAACTTGAGCATCAGACCATTGTAATTTAGTTATGGCTCTCCATCAAATTGATAAAGCTGGTCTGCAACACATATTTATGAGGAGCCGTCCGCTTTATGAATATGCGAGCCGCGGGTAGTGCACCGATAAAACGGTCATTTTTTCATATAAACCGTCGCCGAGAGTGGTGCGACGTTATAAATCACAATCACGTTGATATGAATCCGTTCATCATAGTCGGCGTTCACTTTCCGCCGGGGTCCCGTAATAATAAATGCAGGCCGGGTGCAGTGCGGCGCGTCCATTTGTTCCGACTCACTTTCTGCATAATAAAGCGATTTGTGGGCGGATTGCGCCGCTTGAGCAACGCGTCATTAGTCGCGTGCACTTCTCACGGTGCGTGGCGCAACAGGCGCAACGGGCCTGACAGCGAAACCCCGTCGCGTTGCGCAACACGCTCCGATCGATGACCGACTAAAAGCGAAAAGGCGTCCTTGGCAGTGAATCGAGTGCGCGTACGCCAGTACACCGTCCGGTAATTATTCATAAGCGTTGCACAACCGACGCCTGCGCCGACGATCGATGCGCGCCTGATACCACCGCGCCGATGGCTATCGACACGCTCCATCGATCGCACTCAGCATAACAGGACGCCTCCAGCGTCATCCATCATCTTGAATCGTATTTCTTAATCACATATAGATAATAACGCGTTAAATCGTACATCGGAGCGCGACTCCGAGCCGATTGAATCATGACTCAGCTGCCACGAATGTCATAAAGTTTTAGATTCGCGCGCTGGTATGTTTGCTTTATAAATAAGGCTCGGTGGACAGGTGCCCTCGCAGCGCCGGCGTCTAGCTGCTGTACTAAAAAGGTTCGATCTAGAAGCGGTTACGGTCAGACGTGGATGAACGAAACGGAGCGGCGGCCGAGCGGACGGTCACGAGCCCGATTTGGTTGTGATTAGTGGCCGCGGACGTCTAACTGTGTCCCAAGGAGGATAGCTGTCGCATAAATATGGACAATGACAAAACGCGACGACCTTGTGCCTTGTTAATTACTATAAACAGTGCAAAATGCATAGACAGCCAATGAGATGATAATGCAGTGACATTGAATGTTGTGTCGCAGACAGACGTTCGCGTGAGTAAAGCACGCAAGCGGCCGCTGAGGCGCGCAGTCGACGAGTCAACGGAAGTCGTAAAATTTTACAACTGTTGTCGCCTCGATTAGATTTATAGAAAGCTTTACTGCTCCCTTGTGCTGGTAGAGGCAATCAGCCAGCAGTAGCAGGGGTCAACACACTAGTCAGCGTGACTCGCACTCGAACAGACAAAGCGGGCACAAGGGGTGCATCGACGAGATGCAATCAAATTTTAAATTAGAAATGTGTACGTCAATCGAAATGAATTACACCCCTAGTTGGGGAGCTAATTAGTTTTAGAGATTAGAGAATTTACTATTGTTAACTGTAACAAGGGTTTGTGGGGTTAATGACCCAATCTTGATGAGGGATGCTTAATAAAAACGTTCATACGTTCGGAAAATAAAATGTACTCATTCCTCTTAAGTATATTCATTCTAAGCATTCTAGCTACTTCAAACTATCTCAAATAAGGTGATGAAATCTGAAATAGCTAGACTAAATCAACCTTCCTGCGAAAATTGCAATGGAGGCT